TTGCCCCCCCCCCCCCCCGCGTGTGAAACATTTGGACACGCGGGATGCCCAACCAACTCATGATGCATGTGGTTTGGCACGGTAAACGCAAGGATGATGAGCATGTTCTGGTTCACCCTTCAACCGTGGCCTGGGCCGGCGAAAACCCTGCATATCGCGCTCCCGTCCACGCGTTGTAGCGATGCGAGGTCGACGGTCTACCGACTACGACATGCGTTTGCATGAGTACTCCCCCGGCCCTCCCCCCTACCCTTTTGTGCCTGCCCGGCACACCCGATGTTGTCCTCCCGGTTTGGTCGGGGTGCCTGTATGAGACACGGGAGCCTTTCGAGACACACGCCCGTCGTCTCACTTTAACGTCTCAACGAGTAACCCCCCCCCGCGCGCGCACGTGCCCCCATCCCACCACCGCTAGCTGTTGGATATTTCCTCCCTTCATGACCGTTTGGTTTCTGCTGCTGTTGTGCCGCTTCGCCTCCCATTTATCTATCAATTTTTGGCCGTCAACCAAGGGCGAGCGGGCGCAGCAGGTGGTTTTCGATTGCACTTCAGAGGTGAGAAATGCGGGGGTCCCTTGTTCAAACGTGTGCGCGTTTTCTATGAGTCGATCCTGATGGTAGCAATCGGGTGTGAGTTCTTGTTTGAACGACGTATGTACATATGTACGCCCACGACAAATTCACTTGTCTTCTCATGATACCACACGCCTTTCCCTCGTGCACACCTTCCGTTTTCTGCCCCCACCTTCACTGGGCATCACGAGCCGCATGTTCACCTGTTGCTTCTGCCCTCTCACCCCCCCCCTTGCCGAAACAAAGTTGTCCCGACAAGTCACAGTCGGCAGCATGGAGGACGCCGAGGGGACGGACGGGGGCGTGACGATGACGATGGTGATGACGGACATGCAAGTTGATGCAGAAGTCGCCGCTGCGGCGAAGGGCGGGGGGGGTAAGGGTACGGGGTCGAGCAAACGCGGCGGCGGCGCCGGTGGTGGTGGTGGTTGCGCCGGCGCTTCCACGCGGGGTCTTAGCAGGCCCGATTACCGCCTCGTGAAGAGCATCGAGATGGTTAGTGGATCGAACGTCGAGTGATCTGGCTTAGGTTAGGTATGGTGCTGTGGAAATGCGGTTGAGTGATTGGTGGGTACTGTAGACGGCGAGCCATGCCGGCCGGGTTTTCGTCTATTTTAAAAGTTTGCGGCACGAAGACGAGGTTATACGGCCTGTCGTAGTATCGTTTGAGAATGTCAATTGCGACTGTTTCTGATAGACCCAAGCAGGCAGGCCGTGTGTTATTTTGGGTGGCTGTCGCGGAGTGCTCCGGTACAGACGTCTGTCTAACAACGCTAAACGACCCTGACCCTAACCGCACCGCACCGGTTAGGGTTATCCTGCTCCTCTGCTACCTTCATGCCTTGTTTCCAGCTTTGATGTCTCGCTTGGCAAACATTGAACCGTGAGATAGCGCCGTCCCGCTCGAGCACACACCAGTTTCAGCTGTGTCGGTTTCTCTGCGTACTCAGCCCCCCCCGTCCCCCCCCCCGCCCCCCCTCTCGGTGTTTGCCATCGGTCTTGGGTTTTCGTCGCTTGGTAACGACGTTGTAAAACAAGCCAACTCACTTCGTGAACTCGGCAACCAGGTTCCCGTTTTTTTTTTTCCTCTGTTCTTTTTTTTGGCGGTAACCATAATGGTGGTCGAGTAGATCATGCTGTGCGGGGTGGAGAACACTCACTCCGCGCAAGGGAGATGATCGCACCACGTTGTGTTAAAATGGTCAAGCACCCTCTAGGCAGTTACACGGTGCTAACAACTGTCTCTGGAGGTGAAAGCACAAGAAAATAAATTAAGGCATACGCAGCTGTCATCCGTATGCAAGGAAGTAAGCACAAGATGCCGAACACCCTTAG